CCAATGGGAAACAGATCTAGGACTGACAGCAACTCACTGGGACAACCAGGTAGGGGAAACCAGAGCTGGAGCCTCGTGGAAAAGAGAAAATCATCTGGGATGTGGGGACAAGTATGGAGCAGAAATGAGTGGGAGAAGTTGGCAAGATCAGAGGGCAAATCAGGGAAGGAGATGGGAATGCAGTGCTGGGAATGGAAGGTTTTGATGAGATGGGGTAAAAAGTACTAATTCTGGCATTTCCAAAGTTAAGAGCCTGAATTTGCAACCCCAAGAGTAACTGGATTAGGCCAGTTGCATGTTTCAGACAACATGCACACATTCATTATAAAGAGGAAAGAATATTATGCAGCATCACGTCTTGTCTTGTATCATTTGTCTTGATTAAAATCAGAAATGGTGCTGGGACACTGAGGTGTGTGGCAACTGAACGTGGTTCTGCTGAACTACCTGCTCATCACAGGTGTGCTGACACACCACATAGAGATGTAGGGGAATCGGGAGCGAGATGATCTCTGCCTACAAAAACACAGTGTTATAAATACCTTGAGCTCAAAAAGAGACAGTAATTAGTCCTAATGAGAATATGGGGGGGGGGGGGGGTTGGGTTTTTGGGGGGTTTTTTGACAGATCCAGGCAATCTGTGGGTCTGCAAAGTGTTAGGAAATGCTAGGGAGAGCTGAGAGCAGAGGAATTGACTGTGCTAGGGTTGGAAGTTGCTGTTTTCCTCCATTATGGAAGGTTTTCTTCTCACTCTCAATAAAATCATAACAAGTATCGTTCTTTCCCTGTGCACACAGCTTCCTGGATCAGGCCAGGGGTTCCCTATGGAGACACCAATGTGTGGGAACTGTTGCATATAGCCAGTTAATTGTGGGGCTATCAGCAGTGGTGTCAGTCTCGTATCGACTGCCTCTGCACAGATCGGGTCTGGTGCTGGAGCCAGCTACGTTTACACGTCAGTCCTGTCCTAGTTCTCGGGTGGGATAGAGAGATTTGGAGTCAGGCAGCAGAGCCCAGCTCTACTGTGGATTCTCAGTCACCTGGCAGCTTGCAGCAATCCCCATCCAGCAGGACTCGAGGCTGAGATAAGTTAAATGGAAAGTGGTGGAGATGGCAAAATTTACTCTGCCAAGTTTCTGTAAGGAGCAATGGGGAATTAGGAAGGATCTTTACAAGCTCCCAAGAATTGTCACTCAACAGTATCCTCTTTCAATCCTTCATTTTAGCTGTAAGCTCTCTTAGCTCAAGAAAAGGGAACAATGTCCAGGGAATGCCCCAACCCTTCCTACTTTTCCAAGACTCCTATAGAAATGACTGCAATTTATGTTCAGAGCAACTTGGGCACTGCAATGGCTTGTTAAGATGGAGAACTGAAGCAGAGAGAGGTAATACATCTTGTCCAAGACCACCCTGAATGCCTTCAGCAGAGAGAGAAATCAAGCTCAGATCGCCTGGGCCCCAGCCCTGAGGTTTAACCATAAGGTGCTCACTCTTCTTGCCTAGTGACAATTCAGGATGGATTGGGACAGTATCTACCATCCTGAAACACTGTGAGGCAGCAGGCTGGGAAGAACTGCTGTGGAAAGAGACACTCGTCTTTGCAGGTCACTGCCAGGATAGGTGAAGAGGAGGAAGAGCCAAAGATGTCTAAAATAATAGAAGCAGCTTCCTACCACATCTTCTGCTTCCTTCCTTGTCTGCTGTTTGCTCACAGAGCTCCCCTGCTCCTGGAGGAATGCAGAGATTCACTGTGTTTCTTGGTCATTTCAAGGACCATCTCTCCATGAGTCTGCCTTGCAGGCAAGCAGAATTATTCCTGCAAACCCTACACACCCTCCTCAAGGTTCTACGGCGTATTCCTCTGTGCGGTGTCTATGCAGGATTTGCACAATAGACATTTCCAGTAACGGGGATTCGTTACCACCAAGACCCAATGTGCAGTCTGCCAGTGACAAATTTTGTCAATGAGACACCAAGTCCATCCTTACCTCCTTCTCCAACACAAACACAACTGGATTGAACTTTTCTGGTTTTCTCCGGGTAGCCATCAGTGCTGCAGAAAACCGTGCACATCTGAGGAGCAGCTCCCAGAAAACACTGACCCTGAGGTAGGCAGCACAGCACACTTCAGGCTCCATGATTATCTTCATGAGGCCAGTCAGGGGTCTCTGGTCATCTAAAGCCTTACCCAAATTCTGGACTAAACTTAGCAGTTTGCTTGTGACAGCAAAGAATTTTTGACTGCACTCTCACTGCTTTGCTCTACTGACAAAGTCAGGTGCATCACACAGCTCAACCCCATCTGATCCTCCCACTCTGATGGACAGAAATACCTGGAGACTCCTTGCATGACTGTGAATGGAAATGTCACAGTTTCATCCCCTCCACAGCAGAGATAAAACCATTCTGGAAATTAACTTCTGGGTGCACAGAGGAGCACCTCATTAAAGCTGAGTATCTCAGCCACGATTCACTCTGGTTTGTTCCTTTTCATGCTGGCTGAAAGTACCAACTACAAGGGCAGGTACAACTGTTGCCTTGAAAAGCTCTGAGGTTGGTTAGTGTGTGTGCTCCAAGGGAAAGGGTGTCATAACTGGATTGCCTTTCTTTGTGAACAGCATGGCATATTGCTGGATATTCCATCCTTCCTTCCTTCCTTCCTCCCTTCACCCTCTACACCAGAGAGATCACAAGACACCAGCATCAGCCATGCTGGGCTCCATGCCAGGAGAATTAATGAAGTGGTGTAATAGCTCACACGGAGTCCTAGTGATTGGCACCACACTTAAAATGCATCTGCAAGGCAGGAGATCAGAGCGTTGCTGCTGGGTTCTGTTTATTACAGGCACGTCTCTTCCGTTCCATTGATTTCTTTATTAGCACGTTTTAAGGCTGTAAGGTGGGGACTGGCTCTGCTTGAAGCATGGAGCCTTGAATTCCAGCACAGCTCCTGGAAAAGAAGTCTCCCTTTGACACTCTAGACCTGGATGATAGATCCTGGTGCTAACAAGAACAGGAACTCTACCGAGAGGTTCCTGAGGAGTTTGAAAAACCCTACAGGGCAATGGGTTGGTTTTTATACTTCCTCTTGGGTTTTTTTTCCACGGAAGAAAGGGGGAAAATGTTATCTAAAGAGTATAGAGGCTTTGTGGTCACTGCAGGGAGGACTTCATTCCCTAATCTGAGAGGAGGTTTGAAAGCAGCTGCAAGCAACAGATGTGCAGACTCATAGCTCCCTGCTTTTCATCTGCGCTTTTAGGAGGTCAAATCTTGACTTGACACAGACAGGAAGGAATGGGTGGGTCTCAGTGTACTCATCAACTAGCATTCGATCATATCATGAACTTCAAAGAACTTTGCTATCCATTATTCATGACTTGAAAAGCAAAGTCATACAGCTCAGGACTGAGAGGCAGTGGCTGGGCTGTACAGGAGATCAGGATGGCTCCATGCCTACACTGAATCGCCTTGGCTGAGAGCACAGACTGAAAACCACGGACTCCAACCAGCTGAGGATGGGCTTGGGCTGGAGTCATCAGCTTCACACCACCAAAGGCCAGGAAGAGTAGGTTTGTACTGGAGGAAGTGGAAATCTGCTGGTACTGTCTGCAGTTGCTGAGCTCGCTGTTATCACAGCTTCAGACACAGCCAAAAGCCGGCGCAGCGGTGCCAGATGCAGGAGCTCCATGCAGCTGCTGCCCTGGCCACAGCTCACTGCAAGGAGCAGTCACAGTTGCAGTTATTGTGCACAGTCCACACAGCACCAAGCCATAGAATCACAGAATCATTTCGGTTGGAAAAGACCGATCATTGAGTCCAACCATAAACTCAACACTGTCAAGTTCACCACTAAACCATGTCCCTGAGCACCACATCTACATGGCTTTTAAACACCTCCAGGGAAGGTGACTCCACCACCTCCCTGGGCAGCCTGTTCCAATGCTTGACAACACTTTCTGTGAAGAAATTTTTCCTAATATCCAACCTAAACCTCCCCTGGTGGAACCTGAATCCATTTTGTCTTGTCCTGTAATTTGTTATTGGAAGAAGAGACCAACATCCACCTCTCTCCACCCTCCTTACAGGGACTTGGACAGAGTCAGAAGGTCTCCCCTCAGCCTCCTTTTCTCCAGGCTCAACAACCCCAGTTTCCTCAGCCAGGAACACAGCACACTTGTGCTCCAGACCCTTCCCCAGCTCCATTGCCCTTCTCTGGACACGCTCCAGCACCTCAATAGCTGTGGGGGTCAGGGGGGGCATGGTCCAGTGGTGCCCCTAAAGGCGATGGTGATGAGAGAGCATCGTCCCCTGTGAGCACATCCTGTCCCTGGCCAGGCACCTGGGCTTTGCTCAGTTGTTGGGCTTATTGCTGGCTCACTTGGAAATTCCTAGAAAGCTCTTGCTGGCAATGGAATTGCCATGGGAAGGTTTTTAGATTGCCCCTGCAATATTCCTGCAAGCAGTTTCCTTTGTCTCTGCACTCACACCCCACTTTTCATTGCGAAGGATCCTGCTCCTCCCTGTCAAACCTGCACATGAGCCAAAGGAAGCAGTGTGGAGCATGAACGGGAAGAGCTGCAAGCAGGCAGCCTGATCAGGACATGCAAATTCCATTTCAGATCCCTTACATTAAATTTTTTTCACCCTCTAATATTTCTAAATCCTCTTCTTAAAACAGGCAACACTGCTGCTTTCAGATCCCCAAAACAATCCAGGCAATGAAAGCAAACACACACCAGCATATGCAGATGAATCTAAACCTGAAAGCCTTGATTTTTATATCCAGATGTGACACCTACACCCTGCTTTTCACTGTAAAGCACATAAAACCCCTTCTTTTAGCTATCTTGGACACTACATGCATCATATCCATTTATTATCTTTCTGGGAAATAATGCATGGTGTAAGTCGGCAGGTCTTTATTACTACAGACTTACTACAGACAACTTTTGTGTCTGGAATCTATCACTGATTTTTGCAACTTATTCTGAGACACTCACCCACAACTGGTTTCTAACAAGCTGTCCCCAACCTGCAGCGATGCCATCCCAAAGTCTGCTATCCGGATGTTGTTCTTTTCATCCAGCAGTAGGTTTTCTGGTTTTAAGTCCCTGTGGCTGTAAAGAGAGGATCAAAATGTCAGTTAAATTATCCATGACAGCTTTCCCACTGCAAAACTTGTTCTTTATCCTGCATAGCACCCAATCTATTATATTTTAATTGATTTCATTTTTTTTCCTGTCCCAGGCAGGAGAACACACATATCCAAGATCCAATCTTTGTAATACTCCAGATCGTATCCCAGATGCCTACTCTTGATGAACACAAGGCTTGAGCTTGCAGTGCCCTGATAGGGAATTAAGATCTTCAGCTTCCAGTGATACCAACACAATCTGAGAGAGAGATTGAGGGAAATAGGGAGGAGGAGAATTTCAGCTTGGATTTGGGGCTGATATACTCCATCATACACCAGCTCCTTAAGGGAGGAGGCAGCACCACCAACATATTCTGTGAACAACAGGAAATAAAATACGTGATACCTAGAGAAAAAACCCACTCTTGGTGTAAACACTACTGCAAAAAGCCCCTAGTAAGAGCCATGGGTGTATGGCTTTGAAATAGTTTTGGGTAATTAGATCTGATGGAGAAATCCCTTCAACCCAGCACTGCTCATAACTGAGGGTGCCAGCAGTGGGAAGGCAGAGAAAGGATTCCCTCTCTTCCATCAAAGCTCCATTCTCTTATTATTTGGCAACCTGGGAAGAGCCACAATCTTCTGGATGGCAACTCCTGCTTTAAATCAAAGGTATCATATATTGCTTGATTTATTAATTTCCATTACCCACAGCCAACACCACTGTGCACCCATGCTTGCTTCAAGCACTTTTGTACAGCTATGATACTTACTTGATTTTATATCCAAAGACAAAAATCTTGCACAAAATTTGTGATGACTTTGCTTTTTTTTTTTTTTTTCTTTTCATTTGCATATCTTGAACAGTCACAGAGATGAGAGAAGCACTTTAGGCAGAATAAAGCAGAAGCTCTTTTCTTGTTTTTGCTTATGAGTAGGCAAAATTGAGTCTTTGATAGCTTGCTAATAAAAGGTGCAAACACAAGCACTCAGACCTTGCAGGCAGAACAGCCAGCTTTGGTGCTCAGTCAGAACACAAACCTGTGGGAAATGGCCACAGGAATTTGTAACAATGCTTTAACAAAACCAGTTAACCCGACCAGAACCTGAACCCAGCAAAAGAACCAGCGTTAGGATAGTCCAGTCCAGTGTCACCCATAGTGGAAGGCAGCCTTATCTTCATGCCATCACCTCTTCACTTTTTCAGACATTCCTCTAGCACTCCTCATGCACACAAGTGTAATTCTACCTCTACAGCACTGGAATGGACAGCCTCAGAGAAACACAAGACATGAGAATGTCCTGGAAATGATCTCCTCTGATCTGAAGAGAAGTCTGGAATGATCAGTTTGAGACAACTCATAAATAACACAGGCCAGTTCTATGCAAAACCAGAGCACAGGTATTTCTAGAGGAGACTTCCAGCCAAACAGCACAGGTTCAGAGCAGGTACTAGTCATTTACCTCATCACTGAGTCCTGTGATTCCTTCCCCCAGCATAAAATCTGGTCTCCCATCTTGTACGAACATGCTGAACGCTACCTGTTAAAGTGGCCTTGTTAACCACGGGAGATAATGGAACAAGATGATTCAGACTTGTGTGTATTTCCATCTGACAAAGAAAAAGGTGCTTTATCAAATCTATCCTTCTCATAGAAATCTAAGTTTTGAGATAACTGGAGACAGAAGACTTACTAGCCATATAATAACTATGAAGATAGTCACACCTGCTTGACAAAAAAGCCAGAGATGAGTGACAAGGAGACATTCCAGAGGCAGTGAAGGACCAGTTAATGACCATGAAACGAACCCCTGAATGCCATCATCAAGGACAGCAGTCCTGGACAAAGGCAAGATCATCAACATCTGCCAAAGATGAACATGCTCCAGCCCCAGCAGTGGAATGGAGTGAAGAGCCCACAGTTCTAAGGCAAGCTGGGAAAGCTGGACACTAATGAGACAGTCGTGTGTGATTTAATCCTTCCTCCAGCAGACATCCTGGACAGTTCTCATCTTACAACTAACTGGTTTCATTAACAGGGTGCTGGGAAGACCTCATCCAACTGGAGAGACGCACTGAAGTTCTCCTGCTTGAGGACTAGAGCTCAGTGGCAAGTTACAGCTCCCTATAAAGTGAGCAAGTGCTTGTGTGATGCTATGAAACAAGAAACCTCCCCACAGCTCAAGTTGAATGCATGTCCTTCTACTGTGTATGGTTTTTCAGCAGCTCTGGTTGTTTTTCAGTCTTGGTGACGCTGCTGAACAGATACATGGTGTAGAAGCTGAGGGTGCTGCTGCCTGTGCTTGTTGCACTTTGTGCATTGGCTGGTACCATTCATACGTGTTCCATCTCGAGCAGGCATACTGCTGCCACGTGCCTTTTGCACCTAAAAACTGAAATTCTTTGCTTATTCTAAAATTGTGTATTGTTTTAGAGAAGAAAATTTGAAGGAATGTTCAAGGCACAGCAAGACCTAAGTATAGGAGGTCCATAAACTTTTCTCAGTAGAAAACATCTCATGTTATTTCAGGAAAATGGTGCAACTAAAGGAAACGCAAAAATGCTCCCTTTCCATGCCTCCAAGCGACCAGCTTTAGCAGACCTGCCACAGGCCATGGCTGGAGCAGAACATACGTGACCCTCGAACCAGCCCCACTCCCAGACCACTGTGAGGTGGTGGAAAGGAAGGGACAAAACCTCTGAAAATGAGCACAGGTGGAAAGGAGTCTCCTTCTCTCCATTTCATCCTGGCTTCCCATCAGCTGGGACCCACAGCACAGTTTTAAGCCTGGGTTTTTAGGGAAGATCAAGTGTGAAAAGGAGGTTTCTATAAAGTGGTAAATATATTCAGGTTCTTTTTGGAGAACCACTGCAAGAGAGAGGGGAAAAGAGAGGATCCACCATCCACATTCCAAACGTGGAGTCAGCTCCACCACACTGTGCTGTGCAATGCCTTTCCATGAAAGACCAGCCTACATGGGCTGTAGAGTCCTGACCCACCTCCCTGCGAGCACTTTGAAAGCCTTAAGTTGGGACCTGGGGAGTGATGGGACTGGGATAGTATGTGTGAAAGGAAATCTGGAGTGGCAACAGACCTTAAAGCTTTTTTTTTTGTCCCCTCTCCACACACTCATCAAAATAAAAGCAAGAAAAATGATCAGCTCTTCACGATAGCCCACTGAGCAGAGAGGAGACTGTGGGCTCTGGCAAGAATCGTTCCACTGATTGCTGACTGGGCCCTAAAATACAAGAACCGTCATACGGCAGTTCTGCATCTCCCTGACCCTTCTCCATGCCCAGTAAGCCCAGTATGGATGGGCAGCACAGGCATTTCATGGCAGCCTGACTGTTGTTTTTGCATTGTGGCAGGGCTCCTCTCAGAGATCAGGGTGCCAGTGGGATCAGGCACTGCTTGCACATTCAACCACAGGAGAATTTTATGCCCCAATGAATCATAGAGTCATAGAATCATAGAATGGTTTGGATTGGAAGGGACCTTAAAGCTCATCCAGTTCCACCCCCCCTGCCAGCAGCAGGGACCCCTTCCACTAGACCAGGTTGCTCAAAGCCTCATCCAACCTGGCCGAGAACACTTCCAGGGAGGGGGCATCCACAACTTCCTTGAGCAACCTGTTCCAGTGTCTCACCACCCTCACAGTGAAGAACTTCTTCCTAATATCTAATCTAAACCTCCCCTCTTTCAGCTTAAACCCATTTCCCCTTGTTTTGTCATTAACTGCCCTTATGAAAAGTCCTTCCCCAGCTTTCTTGTAGCCCCTTCAGGTATTGGAAGGCTGCTATAAGATCTCCCTGGAAATGAAAATGTTCTTCTAGCTGGAACATTTCTCTGCTATCTATCTTTGGACCACTTTGAATTTGCTGAGGCAGCATCCTGGGGACAGAAGTCAGGCCAGGAGTCTGCACCAGAGTGGCAGAACCAGCATCCCTGCCACTGGGGATGAAACTTCCTCTCTGCATTTGCATTTCCCATCTTTGTATCGCCAGCTTTTCAAATGCCAGAAGGAAGGGAGAGGAACATATGGGAATAGGGAAGGCTTGTTATAATTTACCTAAGAGCCCAGCAGCCCGGCTAGCCTCATGCATTCATATTTGGAGAGAATTCTCTGGTGCCAAAATGAAACAAAACAAAACAAAACAAAAATCCCACTGTATGTGGTAATTACTTGGCATTAATTACTTGGAACATTGCAGAGTAAATGCATTTAATTTGGTCCCATTCCAGCTGATCTCTCTGCCTCTCCATGTCTTATATGACCGCATCAACTCCTCTCTCTGCAGGTGAACAGAGGACTCGTTACCCTTTCATTGTTCTAAAGGCTCTAAAGCTGTAGGGGCTTTATCACATGGCTGGAAAATCAGAAGAGAAGAAAGCAGCTTCGTTAGTGACAAACACAGTAAACTCTCCTATTGAGCCCTGCATATGCTGAGAAACAGGATGAAAGAGAAACGCAGCACTGCAGAAGTCAGTGCAACGCTGATCCAGGGTGGCCACAGAGGACCCAGAGCTCCTCAACCAAGACAGCTCAGCAAGAAGTTAGCTCCAGGAGCCTGCACACAGCAGGGTTTTGAAGCAAGAGCACGTGAGTCAAAGGGAACCATTAAATAAGCCATGAGAGGGGAAGCACACACTGTCAGACTCTCCACAACGCCCTTCTTTTACAGATTACAACAAAGGCTTCACAATAATTCCCTTGCAGCACAAGACAGATACAGAGAGCCCTGAAAAAATTGTCCCATGGAAACGGGCACAGTTGTTGGAGGTGATGTGTAGAAAACCGAAGGCACATGTATGCATTAACGTGTTCCAGCTTCCCACTTACACTCTGCCCACACTGGCTTTCTGGTTGCTCCCAGTGCTGTATTCAGACACTCCTCTAGCTGCCTCCGTTGCCTTCCCAGTCCGCGCTCCTGTTCTGGGAATATCCCCGTATCTGTACTGCAGGCAGGTGCAGCATATACAA